CTCTCTCTCTCTCTCTCTCTCTCTCTCTCTCTCTGTGTGTGTGTGTGTGTATATATATATATTTGTGTGTGCGTGTGTTGTCATGTTCTCTATACACAATGCCACAAAGAAAAGCGAGCTGACTGTGGCAGACTGTTTCGTCAGACTTTCATCGACTCACCAGGAGATCGTATGTGTTTGGGGGAATGAAACTCCCGTACTGGAGTCGTGGCATGTCACTACGGCCAGTATGCTTGAAAGTGACACTCAGCAAGAGCCCACATCCAGGTATGCTAATGAAAGGAATGCAAAACAATGTCATGCAAAGGGAAGCGAGCAGGCAAACGACAAGGCAGGGAGGGAAAGAAGTTAGCAGCAACGGAATGAAAACAAGGGAAAAGGTTGGAGGGGACAGTGGAGGTGGGTGGGTAGGCAAACAGCATAAGGCAGCAACAGCCATGGCAGACAAAGGACAATGACGCAGAAGGGCACGAGGGAACAGGACAATGGACGACAGGCTGCAGCACAGGACGTAGGCTGCGCAGGGTAAAGGGGAGGCGGGTGGGGAGACAAACAGCACAAGGCAGAGAAGAAAGAGGCACCGAACCAAACAGTAGCAAGGCAAATCAAAGCAAAGACCGAAGAAAATAAAACTGATGATGAGAGATCGTTTCATAGGCGCTGCATAGACTCATCAGCGGGCTGAATCCTCGACAATCTGTAGAATCCCCATAGTGATGGTTTGGGTAATGAACCCTTCGATCCTTGTTGAAAGCAGACTATCTACGAGTGGAACACAGCGAAGCAGCAGGCAACAACTCAGCGAAGCAGCGGACAAGACTGCCGGTCGGGGCAACCAAACTGCGCAACACCAACGCTAACTGCATGAACGACAGTGCAAGCGGACTAGCAGCACGGCAACAGCACAGCGAAGAGAAGCACAAGGAACATCAACAAAGCAGCCAGAAACTGAAGCAGTACACAATCAAAGAACGCAAAAGGCAAATCATGCGGATGGGCGGCAAGGCAGCAGTGCAACGAAGCACGAGGCAAGACGTACATCGCAGCCACACCACACAGTGAACACAGCAGCTGCAAAGAAGGACAGGTGAAGCACGTGGGACGGGCAGCTAGGCAGCGGCAGATCGCAGATAAGGCAGTCCAGACATCAACACGGAGCAGAGCGGCACTGTCATCTGCTCGCGTCTTGAGTGAACCCAGCAGACTGTTGGTTCCCACTTCCCACCACCCGCTGAGCCAGGGAAGCCACTCTGACGGACATCTCCAATCACCCATAGACCATTTGCACCACAAGCATCACAGAAAGAGCATCCCCTCTACGAGTCCCGAAGGCACTCCAAACAACCAACCACCGACTGTCGAGCACTTGTGAAAGGTGCTCACTCCGACACAGAAAAAGCACTTCGAAGAAGTCCAGAAAAAAGAAAATTCATACATACATAAAAATGATTGTGTGTGTGTGTGTGCACTGCTAGTCTGCTACCCCAAGCGTACAGCAAAATAAATAAAGCTGCGCTTGCCCACCAGACAGGTCATCCTAAAACTACGTGTTCTAGCTATACCGATCGGAAAAAAAAGGTCGTTATGGAATCTAAAGAGCCAGTGACCAGATGCCAGCAGAGAACCATGTAGGTAACTAACTCAGGAATCAGGCGTTCATTTAAAAAAAAAAAAAAAAAAAAAAGAAGAAGAAGAAGAAGAAGAAGAAGAAGGAATCAGGCGTCCGTGGCGACAAGGCAGAAAGCCAAGGACAAAAAACGACAAACCAGGGAGACAACTAGGCATTGCACGACAGGCAGCAGCAAGGCACACAGGCTGGAGGGCACAGGGGAGGAGGGAGAGCAGACCCACAACAGAAGGCAGCGAACCAAAAAGACAACGACACCGACAATCAACGAGTCAAGGATGACATACAGCAGCAAAGAACAAGGGCTGGAGGGCACGGGGGAGGCGGGTGGGCGCACAGAGGCACAAGGCAACAAGGCGTAGGCTGACGGGCTGCGGCAAAGGACAATGGCAGGAGGGCACGGGGGAGGCGGGAGGGCAAACAACACGCAAGCACATAAAACACGCAAACCAGACAGAAATACAAGTCCCAAAAAAATACAAAACCGAAAACTAAAACTGATGATAGATTGTTTTGTCGGAGTTGCACCGACTCATTAGGAGGCGGAACCCTCGACAATCGGCGGAATCTTCGTATTGGATGGTTTGGGTCATGAACCATTTGACCCTTCTTGAGGGCAGATTGTCCCCCAAATCGAACACAGCAGTGGGCAGCAACCCAGCGAAGCACCAGGCAACGCTGCAGAGGCAACATTGCTGCTCAACACCAAAGACGACTGCAAGGAACGACATTGCAAGCGGCCGGACAGCACAGCAACTGTGCTGTGAAGCACAAGGAGGAACGACAGGGTGAGCGGACAAGCAGCCCAGCAACCGTGCAGCAAAGCACAAGGCAACACCAACAAGGCAACCAAACTAGAGGGCATGCAAGCAGCAAGCAGCAAGCAGGAAGCCACGACCAGGGGGTGGGCGGCAAGGCAGCGGAGCAGCAAAGCGCAAGGCAACACCAACAACACGGTCACACCACATAGCGAACACAGCAACCTGCAGAGAACCACAAGCGAAGCAAGCGGGACAGGCAGCAAGGCAGCGCCGGAGCGCAGACGAGGCAGTCCACACATCCAACACGGAGCAAAGCGGCACATCACCTACTCACAGCGCGTCACCCAGATGAGCATCCGTCATCACCCACAGGCAACACAGACGCCCGAAACCGAGCGGCCCCCCTAAGAGTGCTGTAGGCGCTCCAAACAACGAACCACCTACTAGCACTTCTTCAGGGTGCTCACTCCAACACTCAGTAAAAAAAAAATCGGGGGAAGGAGGAAAAAACAAGAAAGCAGACAGACATACATAAAACTGATTGTGTGTGTGTGTGCGGGTGTGTGTGGGTGTGTGTGGGTGTGTGGGTGTGTGGGTGTGTGTGTCTGTGCGTCTGTGTGTCTGTGTGTGACTGTGTGTCCGTGTGTCTGTGTGTGTGTATGTGTTTGTGACTGTGTGAATGTTTCAGCGTGCTTGGGATCTGGCCAAAAGTGTGTGTGTGTGTGTGTGTGTGTGTGTGGAGAGAGAGAGAGAGAGAGAGAGAGAGAGATCTGCTCTGTTCATTGGATAGGGACACAATATATAGTTCCCATATACCAGCATGAACTAATGTCGATGGACACGATGTGAACTCGTGCGCGTGGTCAATTGAACTCGTGCACGCCTTATGTCTGGGTTTTGTCCTTGCAAATGACCGTGGGTTCGGTCGGAAATTTGTCCTCATTGCGATGGACATCATGTAAACTTGTGGCACCAATGGATGCAGAGGGTAGTGCTGTTGTGTACATTGTTTGCATTTCGACGGCCGCTCAGTAACTACCGCTGTATCTAGACTGAAAGTTGGCCCTTTTTCAGCTATAATTCTGATCAGTTTAATATCTGATCTGTGGTCTCTGCGGTGAAGATATAGTAGCAGCATTTGCAACAACTGACAAAGAGATAATTAAAAGGAGTTTGTAAGTTAACGAACTTGTGTTCTGCAGCAGCGATCCTGTCTGCCATTGGAGTGGCACTTCCCCTCTGTTTGTACGCACTCGGCCACTGAGTACGGTAGAGATGATTTTTTTTGACTGGTGAGATTTGTGTCGCAATCAATGGGTGATGCATGAGTGACCTGTCACTTCTTTTTTTTTTTCTTTTTTCTTTTTTTGTTTGGTTAAAAGCAAAGCCCCATCTATTCTGGGGGGCGTCAGTCTGGTTGCTCATCACCAGCAAGCCAAAAGTACATGAGAAGCAGTTGAAGAGGAAAAGAAAAGAGTAGATCAGATATAAGAGTCAGATACAGCCACCACCCTTGCAGCTCTAGTTGCTTACACAAGGGGGGGGGGGGGGGGGTTGCTTCGTCCGCTCTCCCCCCCAAACCATTACTCATTTGCAGGGTGCACTTGCTGGCCGGGAAGCTTTTTACTAGCAGCACCCAGACACACAGCATGTGGATCCTGTGAATGGTGGCGCGCGGGGGGGAGAGCCTCCTGGCAGCCTCACCAGTCGGTCAGTGTGCAAATTCTAAATGAATACCTATTCCCCCGGTCATTGTCATTGTCCCTACCTTCTACTCAATGATACTATCTCACTGTTTTTCCTTGCCGTTTGCTTGACATCCAGATACTTTGAATATTGCCTACTTTACTAACCCTGCACCGACAAATAGGAGTGGCGATAAGCGCATGCACTCCTACCTGTCTTGCAGGGGCTCCAGTCTATTGGTGGGGAGCTGCACCTACAATATATCATATGCCTCATGCTTGGCCTCGCATTATGTGCCCATTCCCTACCTTGGGCTATGCCCCTAATACTCACGAGCTCCCTTGGTTCATTACAGTCTATGTATAGTACCCCGACTTTTCCATTACAGCTTTGTCTCCCTTCCCACCCTACCCCTCCCCTCACATACTTGTACCCCCACCCCTACTTTCTTCCTATCCTATCCTCATCCCTCTCTTTGTGTGCCTACCCTACAACTCGATTCTATCCTATCGTCATCCCTTCCCACCCACTTCCAAACCTCTACATTACAGATCGGTCTCCGCTTGACATGTTCGTCGCAGCAACAGAGGCCCAAACGAGACTCGGCCCGACTGGCGGTCCGGTACC